GGGCCGAATATCCACCTCATGATAATCACCCCAACAAACGAAGCCGTTTAGTAAACGCACACAAGAAATGAATCGAACAGGGCAGGGCTGTTTAGTCAACGCCCAGGGCCGTTTAGAAAACGTCAATTGTCGGGTCCAGGTGGTTTTTCTCCCCCTTGAGGGTGGGTCGTGGGTGAGTCGCGGGGTGGGTCGAGGGTGGGTCGCGGTTGGGTCGCGAATGGGACGCGGGGTGGGTCGTGGGTGGGTCGCGGGGTGGGTCGCGGGCGTTGCTGTTGGGTCGCGGGGTGGGTCGGAGGGGTGGGTCGCGGGGTGGGTCGCGGGGTTGGTCGCGGGGTGGGTCGCGGGGTTGGGTCGCGGGGTGGGTCGCGGGGTGGGTCGCGGGTGGGTCGCGGGTGGGACGACGACAACAACACCAGCACCAACAACAGCAACACCAACACTAACACCAACAACAACATCAACAGCATCAACAGCAACACCACAACAACAACAACAACAACAACAACAACAACAACAACAACAACAACAACAACAACAACAACAACGACAACGACAACGACAACGACAACAACAGCAGCAGCAATAATTTTAAGACTGTTCGCCCTTATATGCTCGAATGTCCAATAATGCGTATTTCCCAAACTCTCGATACCCGCCCTCTTCGTCTTCGATCGAACCTCTTTTTGGGGGTATACCTTTCTTCCCTGCAGGCCGGGCCCCGGCAAGCGGCGGGGCGGCCGCGGACCGTCGGCCTGGCCAGCGGCAGCACTGATCGGCGGGGCGGCTGCGGACCGTCGACCCGACCCCAAGAGGGACGGACAGGGGACCGACCACGACGACGACGACGACGACGACGACGACGACGACGACGACGACTTGTTTTTCTGGGTTTCTTCGCTGAGCAATGCTCGTGTTATGTTTATCGACGGGCCTTCGCCGTGGCCTTGGTGTGGCGAAGGCCTCTCCTCTGGTTGAATTCTGCAGCAGCTCTTGAACTCCCTGGCCAAATGCCGTTGGCAATCTGCGCAAGGTTGTGTCTGCCGTCCTTCGTTCGAGGACGGCATTCCACTGCAAGGATCCTTAGTGCTCCGCCCTCGCGTGCACAAAGATAACCACAGCTGCTGCAATAAAAAATGGGGATCTCCTCATAGGCGACAACATTGTGCGACTGGTGAGGTGAGCGGTCCCCAATCTGAAGCCTCTGGTGGGCCTCAGGGACTGTGCCCGCGGGTTGCAAGGAACCTTCGGGGATAGGAACAGGGTGACAGGGGGTCAAGAGCCATTTACGGACGCGGGCCCTGCCCCCAACACGACCAAGACAAATCAGACAGGTGGCCTTGACCCCCTGTCTGCCCTTCTTTGTGATGGTCGGAGTGTGTGCACTATTCGCCACCGCTCTCTGCATGACGCTGGGGCGGGGCCACGAAGTGCAGATCATGCGGGGCCACAGAAGGCAACTATGTGGCCACTGAGGTTAGCAACTGGGCCACGTAGGACAGTGTGGGGGACATAAATGGCGACAGAGGGCCACGAAGGGCATGCACATGGGGCCACAACGGGCGCGACTTGTGGGTGCCTGGGTGTCGGCAGCGCGGCGCTTGGGCAAATTGCAGGAAATTCCAACGCAAGGCCATTCTTCAGTAAGTTGCAAGCATGTCTCCAGCGAGAGCGCGACTCCAGAGCGCCGAGAGAGCGATTCCTAAATAAGTTGTGAGGAAGTCCCAAGCGAGAGCGCGACTCCCTAATAAAATGCGTGGAAGTCTCGGGCGGGAGCGGGGGCCCTGGCTAAATTGTAAGGAAGTCTCAGGCGGGAGCCGTTGTTGTAACCCAGGGGCCAGGGGCCAAGTTTGAGCATCAAGACTTTCCCTGTCAAAAAACAGGGTGTCAGCGTCGAGGGGCACACTTTGATGGAGAAAAAACAATAGCACCGGTGGGGGGATCAACAATACTTATTCTTCAGAAATGAGAATTCAACAACAACAACAACAACAACAACAACAACAGCAACAGCAACAGCAACAGCAACAGCAACAACAACAACAACAACAACACCAACACCAACACCAACACCCACACCCACACCCGAGTAGGCGACGGATCGGGGCGACGAGAGGGGGGTCCCGATCCATTCAGAGGACGGAGTCTGAAGCGCGGGCATGTGTAGCTGCGCACGGAAAGTGAAACAACATGCCAGACGCAATGCGTTGCACGCTGTTGGATTACGCACCAACTACATTGTCAACGCAATGCAGACGTGAACTATCCATGGTTAAACGATGCCATGATCCCAACATGTTACGGAAAGTGCTCGCCCCGACAAGAAGAAATCGAAACCAAACGCAGAAATGTCACGAATGACGACAAACACGGCTGAACAGTGACCGTAAGATCACTGACCGCACTGCTTTCACACCAACGTCGTCATATCTGCCCTGGCGCCTCGGATGAGAGCACGCAGTCGCCCTTGTCCTTGACGACATCCTGCCTCTCTGTGCAGTGGCTACAACTACACACTCGGCATGACATAAAGTGTGTGGACGCATGCAACTTCCACCGGACATCCACAGATATAGTGACTGTTATTGTGCATGCTCTTGTGCGTCCGCATCCGTTGCGAAACAGCACGGCAGGGGACGGAGGAGAAGCAGCAATAGCACGACCACGCGCGAGATCAGGAGCGGGGATGGGGGTCGAGCGCGGGCGGGTCCTCTGGCGCTCTTCGAACGCCGCCTCGGGCCGCCCGTCCGTTCTCTTAGCAGGTGCACTGCAGGGGGGGCAAAGAACATGATAGCCTGAACCATGCACTACTTCGCCGACTCTTCTCCTGCCGTCCTGCCGCCTCCCCCGTCGCAGACGTGATCGTCATCGCCGCCGTCATCACCGCCGCGATCGTCGTCGTCGTCGGCCTTACCTTCGCCATCCCCTACTCGTGCCACATACGAAATAGATACAGACGGGAAACACACGTAAGATGCCCAACTGAAAACGCCATCCAACGCCGACAGCGGCAGATGTTAGACAGATGCCACTTTGTCTCCAAGGGGCAACGTCCGCGGCGACGCCGACACCAAGTCCTGTTCAAAACGAGCAGGAACGGGTGTCGGCAGTCGCCCCTCTACCAGGCAGACGTCCAGGGCCCCCCCTCCTCCGCTACCCGCAGTGATGTGGCAAGGCACGTTCTCCACAAACACCTCAGGAAGGCTCCTGACAAGCCCTTCGGCCACCCGTCGGAAAAATGGTCACCCACTGATCAGCCCCTGGGGGGGGCGTTCACAAGCCACACTTAGCTTGACAAGCCGTCAGGGAGCTCTGACCAGGACCCCGGAGGCACGATTGACAAGCCCCAGGGGGTTGTCAGAAACCCCCTGTGGGCTGGTCAGTACACGGGCTTGCGCATCCTAGGAGCCCCATGGCGCCACCCCTAGCCCTCCCCCCCTTCCTCTCCGTCCGTCACATACCTCCCTCTCCCCCCATACCCGTCCTTTTTTACCTTGCGCCCCTGTCACGGTCCCTGCCTACCACTGGCCGTACCACTCCTGTCCTTCTCATCCTCCTCTGCCTCCTCCTTCCCCTCTACCGTGTCGTCTTTCCCCTCGTGCCCAGTCCCCATCCACCCTCCTCCGCCTCGTCCCTACCCTGCCCCCCCTCGTCCTATGTCACCCTACCCGCACACCCGCCTAAACAACTGTATACCCACCCACCCACACACTCAGTCACTCAATCCACGTCACCTCACCTCACCCACTCAGGTCACCCCACCTTGCAAGCCTTGCACTCCAACATGACTCCTACTCCAACTAAGCACCGCCAAACTCCAATTGCAGTGGGAGCATGGCCGAACAAACGTGGGTCAAGAGCACGAGCCCCTTCGCCGAAGGCCCGACCGAGTCATTCAAACGGTAAGCGAATAAGACAATGGTTCCCATCTCAAACTAGGGTTGTGTTTCACCCTCCTGCCAGATGTACGACATGAACGCCGCTCGACTTAATCCACTCCTCTTTAACTGACCCGTCGCATTCGCGATCAGGGCATGAGCTTCTGTCCCCCCTCCTCATCGTCCCCCTCCTCCTCCTCCTCCTCCTCCTCCTCCTCCTCCTCCTCCTCCTCATCTCCTCCTCCTTCTAACCCCTCCCTCTTGCTCCTCCACCGTCTTCAATCCCCATCTCCCGACTGTCCACTCCCTCCGTTTCCCCCTGCCTCCTCCAAAGTACATCACCCGTCCGCCCTCCAATCCCACATATTCCAGACGAACCTCCCAGACTCATACTCACTCCAATCCTCCCGCAGCAGCCTGAAGGTGCGCAGCAGTGCTGTCAGAGCTTGGATCCACGGCCTGCATGAAACCTACGGGCGCGACACATGAGGATGATGCGGAAGAGGATCTGCACGAGCAAAAAAAGGTTGAGGACGAGGGATGACTGGGCAAGCCTGTGGGCCGTCTCATGAGAGAAATTCGCTTTATCGAGTCTTAGACACCACTGCCAGACTTGTAGAGAGCATCGCGCAAGCACCGTATCGAGATGCTCGTATGTTGGAAGTATTAGTGTAGGATGAAATGCAGGATGGTTCGTGTCCCTGCACCTTCCAGCTGCTGTCCGCGCGTGTCTTGGCCCCCCCTCGACTCAACAACAACTCCCCATTATTGACCATCTGCCGAAGGCTACGTCTACACGCATCCGCAGATTGCGCTGCTAATTGCCCAAGGCCCTACCACCTCATGCCACGGGCCGCTTTGGCTCTCCCCGCTTCTCCAGCCCTGCCCTGAGGTCTCTCCGCCAGCTACATCGTCGCCACTAGTACCTTTCTTGCGACACGCTGCACCGCCACATGCGGCGCACGACGCCTTCCTCTCGTATTGGCTGCCTCGCCTCGGGCGACTCTCCTGTCTCTCTTCGACAGGATCCTGGCTGGGCCGACCCTGGGGCCAAGATCGGAGCCGACGCCTTGCTGGCCATGTCCGGAGGGCGCCCGCGCCGACTCCAGAGCCTATAATATTGGCCTCGCATGTGATCGGCGACCAGCTTTCCGAACTCGTTGGCGTCCGCCCTCGCTGCTGACCAAACAAAGGCGACACCCCGACGCCCCCCGCACGCCACCAGCGCGCACCCGTGGAAGCCGCGCAAACGGGGTCCGAGCAGGTGGGGTCGGAGGGTCGCGCCGCGCCACGTCGCCGATGCACCACCGATGCACCGGCGAGGTCGGCATTGCATCGGTGACGCTGGCGTGGGAAGGTCGGGCTCCTCCACATCGAGCCGCATCGGCGATGCGGCTCGGTCCACGGACCCCATCATCGACTGGCGTTGGAAAGGCAGCGTGCAACATCGAACCCCCTGTGAGGCGATCCCTGCGCGAGGGCCCTTCTGTGAAGGCCCCTGTGGGGGATAGCGTGTATTCAGCGGTAGCGTGTATTCAGCGGACCGGCGGCGCTTCATCGCGCGCGTTCTGCCCAACGCCAACCGTACTTTGACCCCGCTAGGGCAGCCTGGACCTCCGCCCTCTTGAGACGCCCTGCCTGCTCCCCGGCGCCATCGGACAGAAGGCGCCCGCCACCGCGGCGCGGCGCCCTCGGCGCCTGCTCGGAGCCAGGGACGCGGGTACTCGGCCCGCCTAGGCGGTCGCGCCTGCGAGGGCAGTGGCCGCCCCCGCCCCATCGCTGGGAAGGCAAGCCCAGCATCCACGTCACGCCGGCCAGACGGCCCGATCGCCGTGCTACCGCTCAAGAGGCACGAGGTTGCTGCCCTGGGCGGCCAGAGCAAGCGCCTCGCACTCGCTGGCCTGCCAGGACAACCAGGCCTGAAGCGAAGGAGGTCAGCCAGTAGTCCGAGGTGGAGTCAGGGAGAGCGTTAGGGGGCGGACCAGCTCAGGGGTGACGCATCGACCTGGAATCGTCAATCCATCGCCGACCATTCGGCGACGGACCCTCGAAGGCGAAACAGAACGGTGCTGGGTGGGGTGGGCTATCGGACCCCTGTCGGCGATCAGTGGGCGGCTTGGAGATCGACGTATCGCCTCCCGAGCATATCTCCCCCGAGCGCTGCCCCTGAAGTCGGCGCGCGATCGTCGACACCCTGGCGGCGCCCTTCCCAAGCCCCCGGCGCGCGCCCATGGGACTCCGCCTCCCCCGGCCGAGCGGGCGATCCGTGCCCCCCCCCGCGCCCAGGACGCCCGCTGCTGCAGCCCCGCCGCTGCCCACCCTGCGCGCCGCCCTCGGGACTTCTCGCCCCTGGCCGTGCGCCGTGGGCGCTGTGACGACCGCGCGACTTGGGCCCCCGCCCCCGCCTGCGCCGCGCCCCCCCGCCTAGAGGAAAAAGAACTATGCACATACACCGATTCTGGCCAGGCTCATCCTGAGCCCAGGATCGGTGCATACGCCCTCCTACCTTGGCCAGGGAGGCATATGCACCGATCCTGGGTCAAGGATGGGCCTTGCCAGGATCGGTGCATGTGCATAGTTCTCTTCGCCCGACCGCCTCGCGTCCAGGCCTGCCGCCTGCCCGGCGCCGCGGCATCGTCGGCCCCGCAGTCGGGGCGCGCGCGGGCGCCGAGCCAGCCCGCGGCCCCGCCCGCGGACGCGCGGGCCGGCCGCTCTCGCCGCCACCTCTGCCTCGGATCTGCACCTCGTGCTGCGACGCACGTGCGCGTGCCCTGCGAAAGAAAGGAGGGGAGAAGAGCGTGCGAGGGGGAGCGGGACCAGGGAGGGGGAAGTGGGAACAGGGGAGTGGGAACAAAAGAGGGGAGGGGGAGAGAAGCAGAGGGAGGATAGGTGACGGAAAAGAGGATGAGAAGATGATCAAGGGCGATTTGCCTGATATCAGTCGGGCGCACGCACCCCGCCCACTCGCCAGGATTGGCGGGGGGGTGCTCGATTTCGCACTCGCAACGCCCCCATCCCCCCCCCCCAGACAAAAAAACCTGCCCCGCGTGCTCCTTGGGGAACATCTCCTGCTCCGCTGCTACTTCCACGGGCCCCCTTTGAAGAGGAGAGGCGTCATGCGCTCGTCGGGCTCCGGGGGTCTCACTACTCAACGATTGGTAGCGCCAATATCAATTCGAGGCAACGTCAGAGCGTGGAAAACGAGATCGAGACGACGTGGCGCGTCAAGCAGGGGGACGCAACTGCGCCCGCCGCGAAGCGCGCACAATGACGTGCCTGGCAAGCCCGCCCCGGGGGCCGCCGTGGGCAGGGCGCCAGGGAGGGCGCGGGCGCTACCTCCGCCGTCCCCACCCCAGGGAAGGAGAGCAGGGACGTACTGGAGCCCCCGAGCCGCGAAGGTCTTTCTCACGATACATAAACATGTAGATACACATCTGCATACATATCTGTGTATATGTATGGATATACAGATGTGTGAATATACATCTCTATATTATGTATATACATCTCGAGATGTATGTGTATATATATAGTGTACACATTTATATGTAAGCACACACGCATACACATATACATGTAAAGTTTCACACACCTGCACGACCACCCTTCGGGTGATGAGGAGGTTTTGGGGGAATACCAACTGATGACACCTGCGATTATTATGATGGTGACGATGCAGGCGATGCGACCGCAAGCTGGTGACGATGCATGATAGTGATACTGGTGGCAAATGCATGATGGCGATTGTGGTGGCGACGATTGAACACCATTGGAACACCACCGAGACACCATCGAAGCACTATCGGCAGGACAGGAGTACCTGAAAACACTATGGAGGGCAAATAAGTGGTACCATCAAGACACTATCAAGGCACAATATATGGACACGATGTGAACACCATCGGGGTACCATCGGAACATCATCGGAACACCGTCGGGCCACGCGCGGAACTCCATCGGATCACCATCGGGAACCATGTGGACACCATGTGGACACCATCAGGGCACCATGTGGACACCATGTGGACACCATCGGGGCACCATGTGGGCACCATGTGGACACTATCGGGACACCTGCGGAACTCCACCGGAACACCGTCGGGACATCATGTGGACACCATGTGTGCACCGTGCGGACACCATTGGGGCGTCGTGTGGACACCATCGGGACACCTCCAAACCACCGCCAACCATCCGGCGGAACTCCAGTAGAGCCACCGCCGGCCAATCGGTGGGAAGCAACATGTGGCCCAATTTCTCCCAAGCAACGGCGAAGTCATTCTGCTCGCCCGCCCACGAAGCTTCGCCTCGCCCGCCCGCGCGCACGACACGAAACAAGCTTCGCGATTTCCCGGTGGGGGTCTCCGTTTCACTTCGGTCTCAACCCCCCTTCTCCAAGATTCCCCAGACAGTGCTTGCACTTTGGGCCTCCTGTTTGTTCCCAACCCTCCTGTGTTGAGCACCCGTTTTGAATAGCGCACTGCGCGTGCGTCTCCTTCTTCTCCTTCCCGCCTCCCTCCTCCTCTCATCTTTCCTACCTGCCTCTTACCTCGCTCCTTCCTGCGTGCCAGCTTGCCTCCCATCTGGTCATTACCGCGGGACTGCGATCTGCGAAAATGTCGCCACATGCGAGGGCTGCTGGGGGGTCAAGCGGAGTGAGGCACCACCCAAATTCAGACTAACCTCGCCATCCCTGGGGGGGCTGCGATCTGCGAAACCGTCACCACTTTCGAGGGCGGCTGGGGGCTCTGGCGGACTGAGGCACAACCCAAGCTCAGATTAGACCTCGCCACCCCTGGGGGGGTGCGATCTGCGGAACCGTTGTTTTTTTCGAGGGTTGCTGGGGGGTCTGGCGGGGTGAGGCGCCACCCAGACTCGGATTAGACCTCGCCATGAATGGGAGGCTGCGATCTGCGAGAGTTTCGCCATTGTCGAGGCTTGCTGGGGGGTCCAGCGGTGAGAGGTACCACCCAGACTCAGATTAGACCTCTCCATCCCTGGGGGTTTGCGATATGCGAAAGTTTGGCAACTTTCGAGGGCTGCTAGGGGGTCCAGCGGCGAGAGGCACCACCCAGACTCAGATTGGACCTCGGCATCCCTGGGGGCTGCGATTTGCAAAACTGTTGTCACGTTCGAGGGCGGCTGGGGGGTCTGGCGGAGCGTGGCACCACCCAGACTCAGATTAGACCTCGCCATGAATGGGAGGCTGCGATATGCGCAACTATTGCCACTTTCGACGGTTGCTGGGCGGTCTGGCGGAGTAAAGCACCACCCACGTCATACTAGACCTCGCAATCCCTTGGGGGGGCTGCGATTTGCAAACATGTCGCCACGTTGGAGGGCTGCTGGGGGGTCCAGCGGTGAGAGGCACCGCCCAGACTCAGTTTAGACTTCGTCATCCATGTGGGGTTGCGATATGCGAAACCGTTGCCTTTGTTTCGAAAACGGTTGGGGGGTCTGGCGGAGTGAGGCACCACCTAGATTCAATTTCGACCTCGCCATCCCTGCGGGGTTTCGATCAGCGAACATGTCGCCACGTTCGAAGGCTTGCTGGTGGATCCAACGGAGAGAGGCACAACCCAGATTCATACTAGACCTCGCCATCCCTGGGGGGCTGCGATTTGCAAACATGTCGTCACTTTCGAGGGTTCCTGGGGGTCCAGCGGCGATAGGCACCACCCAGACTCAGTTTAGACTTCGTCATCTCTGCGGGGTTGCGATATGCGAAACCGTTGCCTTTTTCGAAGGTTTGCTGGGGTGTCTGGCGGAGCGAAGCACCACCCAGACTCAGATTAGACCTCGCCGTCCCTGGGAGGCTGCGATCTGCGAAACTGTCGCCACGTTCGGAGGCTGCTGGGGGGTCCAGCGGAGCGAGGCACCACCCAGAGTCACACTAGACCTCACCATCCTTGGGGGGGCTGCGATCTGCGAAACTGTCGCCACTTTCGAGGGCGGCGTGGGGGTCCAGCGGACTGAGGCAAACACCAAATTAACACTAGGGCTGGTGGGGCTGCGAGATGCGCGAATGTCGCAATGCTCAAGGGCTGCTGGTGGGGGTCTATCGGGGTGAAGTCTTGTGCGGACCATGAAGGGACCTCGCCACCCCAGGGGTCCAGCGCAATGACGCCGGTTGTGGATTGCGCCACCAAAACGGGAATTCGTATATTGCACAACCTACATATGGCACCACAGGTATCGCACAACGCCAGTTGCATCACATCGTTTGCTCAACACGCATTGCACACCATAGGCTGCGCAACCTATGCTGCCCCACACGGATTGATTACACCGATTGCACAATTCATGTTGCACCGCATGGGGTGCACCACGCCAATTGCACAACCTATAGCCCACAACTCATAATGTACACCATATTGCACAATGTAAAGTGCATGCCGTATATATATATATATATATATATATATATATATACATATATACATACATACACAAGAACCACGCGCGCGCTACGCGCGCGCTTAGGTTCTAGCTTCAACGGCCAAACAACTGACGAGGAGGTTGAAGGCTGAATGCCATTCGGTTATTCGTTGAGTTTCGTGGTCGTGGTTCGAAAAGCTGTTGGGCGCTCCTCACCCCCAGGCGGCCCGAGGCGGCCGAAAACGACACCTCTTCCTCGTCCTCCTCTTTCCCCCTGCTCTTCCTCCTCTCCTCCTACTCTTCCTCCTTCCCCCATCGCCCCCTCCTTTCCCCCCTTCCTCCTCCTCCGCCCCCTTCCTCCCCTCCTCCTCCTTTCCCTCCTCCTCATCCTTCTCCTCTTCCTCCTCCTCCTCCTCCCCTCCTCCTACTCCTCCTCCCTCCTCCTCCTCCTTCCTCCTCCTCCTCCTCCTCCACACCTCCTCCTCCTCCTCCCCCCCCCCCCCTCCTCCTACTCCTCATCCTCCTCCTCGTCCTCATCATCATCATCATCATCACCATCATCATCGTCATCGCCATCACCATCATCATCTTCATCATGTTCCTCCTCCTCGTCCTCCTCCTCCCCTCCCTCCTCCTTCCCTCCTCCTCCTCTTCCTCCTCCTCCTCCGCCTCCCCCTCCTCGTCCTCGTCCTCCTCCTTTTCCTCTCACTCCTCCTGCGCCAGCTCCTTCTCCTCCTCCTGTTCAGACTACATGTTTCGCCAAACGGCACTGCGACGCCGCGCAAACATTGGGCCGCATCGGATAAAAGGGAACACTCGGGGGAGGCCTCCCTCTTCCTCTTCCTCCTCCTTTTCTCCTCTCCCTCCACATCTTCCTCCCCTCCTCTTGCTCCTCCTCCTCCGCCCCCTCCTCCTCCTCCCCCTCGTTCTTCTCGTCCCTCCTCCTCCTCCTCCTCCTCCTCCTCCTCCTCCTCCTCCTCCTCCTCTTCCTCCTCCTCCTCCTCGTCTTCTTCCCCCCCATCCCCATCATCAACATCATCGGCATCATCAACAACAGCGTCATCATCACCATCATCAACATCATCGTCATCATCATCATCACCATTACCATCAGCACCAGCATCATCAGCATCGTCACTATCCTTCTTCCCTCCTCCTCCACCCGCCCCCCTTTTTTCTTCCCCCCTCCCCCCCCCCTCGCCCTCCTCTTCCTCCTCCTCCCCTCCCCCTCCCCCTCGTCCATCTCCTCTTCCTCCTTTCCTCTTCCTCCTCCCCCTCCCCCACCTCCTCCGCGTGAAAGACATCCAACAACATGTCGCGGAAATCAACGAACTGCGTCCTCTGGGTTTTTTTTTCGGGCGTCCTTTTAGGACCCCCTTGGGCGCCCTGGGAA